ATATTCATCCCCGCATGACTTACATGTTAGCATATATATGACTCCAGAACGCATGCAGTCCCCTGGCTTACGGCTCAACGCTAGAAGAAGAATATTACGATGCCAAGATTCATCGAAAATTAAACATGGAGTATTATGGAACGTGTCTCCAATATCTCTTTAAAAAATCTTTATTTGCGGTTGAGGTACTACACTACAGATGTTTAATAGACGGTGCACATTCTTGGAACACGAATGGTAGTCATCCATCTTTCTCCCTCAAGAAGATGGCGTGGAATGACCTCTTCGCGAGCTTGGCGAAGAAGGCGTCTAGTGATGGAGTTCTCATGGAGGCAGACAAATTCAACTTCCTTCTCTTCCTCCTCGCCTCTCTTCACAACAGTATCTCTAGGGCATTCGCGAACAGGCTCAACGGAGAAGCAAACACGGCTTTCACGCTCGATAACATGGGTACGAAGGATGGGCTCTGGAAATTTTTTCAGTGCTGAGAAATTGGCTTAAATGTTTTAAAAAAGCTGCTTGTACTTACTGCGCTCGATCTCCTCATAGTCGGTCATGTATCTCTCCTCCTCATAATGCTCTTTCTTCTCGTGTCTCAGTTCTCTTTCGTCTTCATAACGGCGTCTGTCCTCGCGATATTCGTCTCTGAGTTCGTCCTCTTCCCTCAAGCGGTAGTTGCGGTTTCTCAGATCCTTCTCAAGGCGATGGTTGCGCTCCTTCTTAAATTCAACCTCGTCGATCTCGCAGTGCTCATCCTTAGCAATGTAGCTGCGATGGAAGTCCTCGACCATCTCGGTCTCTTCGTTGTCGGCGCGGCGGAGGTCATTCCATTTCTGAAATATCTCAAATAATTGTTGAAAAAATGATGTCTGGAGGTTTCCCACCTCTCCATCGTAGTGTCCACAGATTCCGCACTGCATGTTCTTGTACATGTGCGAAAGCTTGATGTTGCACTCATATCCGTCAAACAGCACAACGACGTCCTCGATGTCAATCTTGTAGAGATTCTCCTCGATCTTTTCGATTCTGTACCTCCTTAACTCCTCATGATTGATGATCTTGTCATTGACCTTCACAACGAGCTCATTGTTGATCATCTTCAGTACGTAGACATCGCGAGGAGTGACAATCTTCACTGCCTTCTCTTCACGGTCCTTCATAATCTTCTTCATCATAACGACAAAGCGTGGCTCCTCATTATGACAATCTTTAGCCAGGATGGTGTAACAGGTAGTGAGTGGGGTCCTGAGGCGGAGATTGTCGAAGGTGTTCACTTCTTTGCTTTTTACAACACACTCGGCGCGATTGTGCTTGACAACATGGCGAACAACATCTCTGACATCGACATTCTCAAGCAGATGCATGTCATGGATGTTCAGTGTAGGAAGTGTGAATGGCAACATGAGATTCCTCTTCACAATGCGCTTTTCTGGAGTCTCAATGAACAGGTCGAAAGTGCGGCGATTCAGCGGTTCGATCTCCAGCTGCATGCGAAGCACTTTGTCCTCGTTGCGGACCATCTTGTACTCCGTATTCCACATGTTCCAAGTTTCGCAGAGCATGGCAAGCTTATGCATGTAGTGCTCAGTCTCAGGAGTTAATTCGTATCTCACCATCACCTTGTAAAGGTTGCGATCGGAGGCGATTCTTAGCTTCTCCATCTCAGTCAGCATATTTTCCTTGCGCTCGAACTTTTCCATCCACATTTTCTGTTCTGGGGTCTGCTCACCTTGTAAACGAATGAAAGCAGTGTTTCTGCGTTCATTTCCCCACACAACGTCAATGATTCCATGGAATTCACGGTTGAACATCCTCTTCAGCTCCTCGATTGTTCTAGGGATCTGTGGGTAGACGGTCTGGGCATCAAGTCTTAGTTCCCATGGGTGGGTTTCCTTCTCGAATGGGGTGCGGTGAAGGTAGAGGTTTGTGCGGCAGAATCTGTACTTGTTGTCGCAGACGGCCTTTAGTTCCATCTTGACCTCGTGCTTCTCACGCTGACCGACAGTCTCAAGCTTACAGAAGAGGCGGTGTCGGTAGGCTTTCTCGATTTGGAAGTTCCTCAGGTAGGTGGTGAGTTCATTTCTGCGCACTTCCCTATGTCTTGGCTCCATCTTTTCAATCTCAAAGAACTCGTCGTTGGTTCTGAAAAGTTTGTCAAATTCTGGTCTCTCCATCCTTTCTGGGACAAATGCTTCCATCTCCATGGTGAAAACGTATTCCTTGGTAATGTCTTCGGTAGGCTCAACAAGGACGTCGATGGTGTTGTATCCGACTAGGACAGGGTTGAGCAGGCTCTCCATTCTGCGAACAATTGGGCGATGCATGGTTCCGGTGACAATGATCTTGTGTCCATATCTCTTTAGATAGGTGTTTTCGAATGACATAACTGGGTAGAGGTGCTCGCGGAGGTGGACGGTAACCTCTTGTGGTTCCAGATATGCATGACTAACCTTCTTCATGTGGCGAACGAAAGTGACTGGGCGACTCTGCAGGTGAAGGACGTTCTTCTTGTGCTCAAGCGGGCGGAAGATGGTCTTGAGACGAAGCTGGTGTCTCCAAGTGACTTCGGTCTCAATCTCAATTGGGTGGTCGAACATGGCAGAATGCAGCATCTTGAATCCAGTCTCAACAACTGGATGCATGATGGTGGCCTTGACAACATGGGTGGTGGCAATCTTTGGCTTAAGGATAAGATGAAGTCGGAGTCCGTCGAAGGTCCTAGACTCTCTTGGTTCCATTTCAATCTTGATCTGACCGTGGACAGTTCCAACAGTTGGCATCTTCGAGGTGAGCACAAGTGGCAGACCGAGGGTGGTTGGGATCTTCCTCACGTATTCGTAGAAGAAGAGTCCGCCAGTCTTGCTGAAGTGTGTTCCTGTGGCGAGGAGGCGTTCAATCTCGTCGAGTTCAAGCTTTCCATCACGAATCATCTCCTTGAAGAATGTCGGAATGGTGTCAACATCGATAGGCAGGAAGGCATAGTCCATGTCCTTGTAGCGGATGTAGAGCATTACATGGGGCTCTTCCTTATCGTGGCTACGTCTGACAAAGTGCAATTTATCGTAGATGCGTTTGAAGATTTCAGATGGAGCATAGAAGTTGGATCGCTTTCCACGAACAACTAGTTGTTCCATATCCATGTCTTCGAATTTGTGCAGAAGCTTGTTCAGGATCTCATCAACATTCTGCTGTGAGATTCCAAGCTGCAAGAAGTGTTTGTACCATTCCCCACCAAGAATAGTGTCAAGAGTGGTGAGCAACTCCTTTGGTAGCACGCTATCCTTCGTGAAGAGGTTATGCATGGTCATAGAGACGCCATATCTCTTGTCAAT